GATAGATAGATAGATAGATAGATAGATAGATAGATAGATAGATAGATAGATAGATAGATAGATAGATAGATAGAGAAATAGCAAAAGGTTGATAGAAATAGAGACAGACAGATAGATACACAGATAGAAAAGAAAATAGATAGTAAATGGTTGATAGAAATAGAGATAGAGACAGAAACAGAGATAGAGACAGATAGGCAGACAGATAGATGATAGGTAGGTAGACAGACAGACAGACAGACACACACACACACACACACACACACAGAGAGAGAGAGAGAGAGAGAGAGAGAGAGAGAGAGAGAGAGAGAGAGAGAGAGAGAGAGAGAGAGAGAGAGAGAGATAAAGAAATAGAAAGAGGGAGATAGAAATAGAGATAGAGACAGACAGGCAGACAGATAGATGATAGGTAGGTAGGTAGGTAGGTAGGTAGGTAGACAGACAGACAGACAGACAGACAGACAGATAAAGAAATAGCAAAAGGTTGATAGAAATAGAGACAGACAGACAGACAGATACACAGACAGAAAGAAAAGAAAAGAAATAGATAGTAAATGGTTGATAGAAATAGAGATAGAGACAGACAGGCAGACAGATGGTAGGTAGGTAGGTAGGTAGGTAGGTAGGTAGGTAGGTAGGTAGACAGACAGACAGACAGACAGACAGATAGATAACCTTTATTGTCATTTTTTTCCAGTGGGCACAATGGCACACATTAAAAATGAAATTTAGTTGCTTCCTCTCAAAGTATACACATACATAATACAGATTTAAACATACTATGTACAATGTATGTATAGACCTACACCCTTCCATATAAGTAACATATAAATATTAAATACTGTCCATCTTGAATACGTAATGGAAGGAGGAAGCTTGAGAGTTCAGAAGGTTAATGCTGTATGGAATGAAACTATGGCTGAATCTGGATGTTCTGCTACGGATACCACGAAGCCCCCTCCTCTCCCAGAAGGTAACAAGGAAAACAGGTCATGGAGAGGATGTGTCGTATCCCAGAGAATCCTGCGGACCCTGCTCGTACAACGCTTATATGCCACGTCCTGGATGGGAGGGAGGGAACTGCCAATGATCTTTTCTGCCGTCCTCACCACTCTCTGGACTGCCTTCCTGTCTGAAGCAGGGATGCTTCCAAACAAGACTGTGATGCTGTATGGCGGGATGCTCTCGATCGTCCCTCTGTAGCAGTAGTAGTGGAAAGAGTAGTGGAAGCTTGGAACCAACTTCCAGCAGAGGTGGTGGGTCAGTCTCTAGTGACTGAGGTTGAACATGGTTAGGATAAACGCATGGCTAATATCTGGTGGTGCCGAGTCGTGGTGGCGCAGTGGTTAGAATGCAGTATTGCAGGCCAGTTCTGCCGACTGCCAGGAGTTTGATTCGGACCAGCTCAAGATTGACTCAGCCTTCCATCTTTTTCTGAGGTCAGTAAAATGAGGACCAGGATTGTTGGGGGCAATGTACTGATTCTATAAACCAGGGGTCCCCAAACCCTGGTCCATGGGCCGCACCGGTCCACAGCATGCCAGAAACCGGGCCGCACAAACAAACGAAGCCCCATCCAAAGGATGCAGGCGGTACACTAAACCACGCCCCTCCGGTCCACAAAAAAAAAAACTCTCTCCACGGAACGGGTCCCTGGTGCCTTAAAGGTTGGGGGCCACTGCTGTAAACCACTTAGAGGGGACCGCAAAGCACTTTGAAGCGGTACATAAGCCTAGGTGCTATTGCTATCTGATGAAAATTTTAAAAATCTATATAAATAAAAATGTAAATGTTCGTTTGTTCAAAATCTTAAATCTCCGAAAGTTCTTCACCGATTGCTTTGAAATTTTGACACAACGTTGCATTCGAATACGCGCGTGTTTTTATATGCCTACTATATATACCTATATAGATGTCACACCTGTGACAGGTAAAAACATGTTTTTTTTAAAAAACAGCGCCATCTGTTGGACGTAAAAGCAACACTTTTCTTTCTTTTCCATTTAACCAGACTGAGCCACAGCAACGCGTGGCCGGGTACAGCTAGTAACAAATAAAAATAAATAAGAAAGAACTCAAAGAGCAGACTCGGTGGATGACTAGGTCTTCTTCTACCACCAGTTTTCTACGTGTTTTTTTTTTCCTAAACCAGAGTTCCCCAACCTTTGGGGATTGGCGGCACGGAGCGGGGGGGAAGGGAGGGGAGAAAGAAGGGATGGTTTCATGGGGGTGTGAACACGTGCACGCGTGTGGGGCTGTGAGCACTCCCCCGAGTGGGGCCATGAGCGCCCGTGACGCTCACGGCAAGGCTTGCGTGAGTGGGGCCACAAACAGCCATGGCAAGGCTCACTCAAGTGGGACCGCAAATGCCCGTGACATTCGTGCGCACCGGCTAGCCACTCACACGGCCTGGTGGCCCATAGGCCACGGCCCGGTAATAATGATGATGATGATGATGATGATGATGATGATGATGATGATGATAAAGTTGGAAGGGACCTTGGAGGTCATCTAGTCCAACCCCCTGCTCAGGCAGGAAACCCTATACCATTTCGGACAAATGGCTGTCCAGTCTCTTCTTAAAAACTTCCAGTGTTGGAGCATTCACAACTTCTGGAGGCAGGTTGTTCCACTGGTTAATTGTTCTCACTGTCAGGAAGTTTCTCCTTAGTTCTAGGTTGCTTCTCTCCTTGATTAGTTTCCACCCGTTGCTTCTTGTCTTGCCTTCAGGTGCTTTGGGGAATAGCTTGACTCCCTCTTCTTTGGGGCAGCCCCTGAAGATATTGGAAGGCTGCTATCCTGTCCCCCCTCGTCCTTCTCTTCCTTAAACTAGACATACCCAATTCCAGCAGCTGTTCCTTATATGTTTTAGCCTCCAGTCCCCTGATCATCTTTGTTGCTCTTCTCTGCACTCTTTCTAGAGTCTCAACACCTTTTTTACATCGTGGTGACCAAAGCTGGATGCCGTATTCCAAGTGTGGCCTTACCAAGGCCTTGTAAAGTGGTATTAATACTTCACGTGATCTTGATTCTATCCCTCTGTTAATGCAGCCCAGCACTGTGTTGGCTTTTTTGGTAGCTGCAGCACACGGCTGGCTCCTATTTAGGTGATTGTCCACTAGGACTCCCCACAGCCCACAGGTTGGGGACCTCTGTTCTAAAGGACAGAGGGCGTTGAAGAAACATGAATTACAAGCAGAAGGAAAAGGAATCCTTACCTGTGGCCAACAGCGGACATCGCCAAGGCCAGGTAGCAGCCAATGGGGAGACTAGATCGGACCGCCTTCAGCAGCGGGTGAAAAGTAGGTGAATCCGTCAAGTCGGGGATGGGGGCTGGAGGCCAGGGTCCCTGCACGCCGTAATCATTCCTGTGCAGCTTTAATCTCAAAATCATCCCCCAGGCCCACTGGTTGAAGGAGCTTTCGGGGGTCTCGCCGTAACGGACAATGCTGGCCAGATACGAGACCTGGGAGAGAGAAGCGAACAGAAGAGAATAACAGAGTAACCGAGTTGGAAGGGACCTTGGAGGTCATCTAGTCCAACCCCCTGCTCAGGCAGGAAAGCCCCTACCGTTTCAGACAAAAGGGTGGCCCAATGTCCCTCGGTTCTTCCCGAAGAAACCCAAAACTTTTACCGTTCAAAGAACTGCCCGGTTGTCAACCCAAAAGACGGTTAGCTACTAGCGCGTTTCCCCGGAAGTAAGGCCTACAACAGGGGTGGGCAACCTTGGCTCTTTTATGACTCGTGGACTTCAACTCCCAGAATTCCTGAGGCAGCCATGCTGAGGGGAAAGGGAGAGGTTTCCAAGCTGAGCCATGCTGGCTCAGGAATTCTGGGAGTTGAAGTCCACAAGCCATGAGGGGGCCAAAGTTTCCCTCATGCTGGCTCAGGAATTCTGGGAGTTGAAGTCCACGAGTCATGAAGGGGCCAAAGTTTCTCTCATGCTGGCTCAGGAATTCTGGGAGTTGAAGTCCACCAGTCATGAAGGGGCCAAAGTTTTCCCCATGCTGGCTCAGGAATTCTGGGAGTTGAAGTCCACGAGTCATAAAAGAGCCAGGGTTGCCTACCTCTGGTCTAGGCCTAGGCCGCTTTCTGACTTGTGAACTTCAACTCCCAGAATTCCTGAGCCAGCATGGCTCTGCTTGGAAACCTCTCCCTTTCCCCTCAGCATGGCTGGCTCAGGAACTCTGGGAGTTGAAGTCCACGAGTCATAAAAGAGCCACGGTTGCCTACTCCTGGAATAGGATATCAGAAGACGTAGCTTTAATTCAAGAGATCTGACTTGCCCTACCAGATGGAGTATTATATGAGCAAACACTTGTTAGAATATGGTTAAAAGAACGGATAACTTTGGATATAAAGGGGCCCTACAATAAGAGGGATAAGAGATATAAGTAATATAGTGTTTTTTTATAATATATAACATGTAAAAATATTGGAATAATGTATGTCAGGGGTCTTCAAACTTGGCTCTTTTATGACTTGTGGACTTCAACTCCCAGAATTCCTGAACCAGCATGGCTCAGCTTGGAAACCTCTCCCTTTCCCCTCAGCATGGGTGGCTCAGGAATTCTGGGAGTTGAAGTCCACCAGTCATAAAAGAGCCAAGGTTGCCTACCCCTGGCCTACACCAACAATAAGCCCTACCTTGATTTTTTTTGGGGGGGGGCTAATATAAGTCCTATCCCCCAAATAAGCCCTAGTTTTGGGGCAAGGCACACACCTAAAAATCAAGCTAGGGTGAGGGTGGGAGTGTGGGGCTGCTCCACCCGCCCCGCACCCACTCAGCCAAGCCTCCCCTCATCGGCCCACTTCTTCTTCTGAGGCCTCTTCCGCAGCCAGGCCTCCATTTCTCAGTCACAGGGCTTTCCAGAAGGCCTCTGCAGCCAAGAACCGAGCTATGGGTTCAATCCATAGCTCGGTTCCGCAAGAGATCTGCAGCCGAGCACCAAGCTATGGATTGAATCTGCTGAGGCCTTCTGGAAAGGCCCGACTGCAAAATGCAGACCCGAGTGCAGCTGCAGAACTTCGACCCCAGAAGAAGTGGACCGGCTGGGTGGGGCTGTCAGTGCCGGAGTTGAGATAAGGCCTATCCTGAAAATAACCAGTTCTCTGTGTGGATGCCGCTTCTGGAAGTCCATTCTGGGCCTGGGCAACAAAAAATTAGCTACCGGTCCTGCCGAAGTGGTGAGAACCGCCTGAATCCCACCTCTGGCAGCAGCCCACAGGTTGCGGACCCCTGCATTAGAGCGCTTTGTTTTAATTTAATTTAACCCATAAAATTGGTTGTTCTAGCAACCGCGTTAAATACGGCTTATTCCGTCAACTGGCAACTAAGAGAAGCAATGAAAGGGAGGCACCTGTTTGAAGCTTTCAGAAAGGAGTCCGCTGTAGGGCTTCTGGGGGAGATACTTCTGATAGGCTTCTAAGATCATCAGTGCTACTTCCGCGTGGACTGCTGGACCGATGTGGAGGTAGCCCTGGTCAAAAACATCTTGCTGATTTCCAAGATAAGGAGACATTTTTTTGGTTCTATGGGGCTCCCTAGCCATTTGCTAGTAAGCTCTTTTTTTAAATATTTCATTTATTTATTGCAGCCACAAAGCCACTCCAAAAATAGGATACAAAAAAGTTCTGCATGACGATTCGTACGCTGGGCAGGTTTAAACAAAACCCAAATTACAAGAAGAAGGGGGGGGAACAGTTTATTAATCCTGGTGTGTTTAAAAGAACCGTCCTGGGGTTTACTCTTTTCAACTGAAAACCACCTTAGAATGTAAGATACTGTTGACTGATGAATCCCATAGGATAGCATTAGTCAAACTCAGCAACTATAAGATGCATGGATTTCATTTAGGGAAGGGGGAGGGGAGAGGGGGAGAGATTGGGAGAGGGAGAAGAGGAGGAAGGGGAGGGGGAGTGGAGAGGGGAGAGAGAGGAGAGGGAGAGGAGAGAGTGGAGGGAGAAGGGAGAGGAGAGGAGAGGGAGAGAAGAGTGAGTGAACAGGAGGGAGAAGGGAGAGGAGAGGGAGAGGAAAGGAGAGGAGAGAGTGAACAGAAAGGAGAGGGTAGAGGAGAGGNGAACAGGAGGGAGAAGGGAGAGGAGAGGGAGAGGAAAGGAGAGGAGAGAGTGAACAGAAGGGAGAGGGGAGAGGGAGAGGAGGAAGGGGACAGAGAGGGGAAGGGGAGGGGAAGAGGAGAGGGAACAGAAGGGGGAGAGGGAGAGGGAGAAGGAGGTGGAGGGAGAGGAGAGGAGAGGAGGAAGGGGACAGAGGGGAAGGGAAGTGGGAGTGGGAGAGGGAACAGGAGGGGGAGAGGGAGAGGAAGGAGATGGAGGGAAGGGGAAGGAGGAGAGGAGAGGAGGGGAGGGGGAGCAGAAGGGGGAGGAGAAAGGGAGAGGGAGAGGAGGAGGAGAGGAGGAGGAGGAGAGAGGAGAGGAATGCTGGGATTCTGGTGTTCACCCTGCTTGGTTTTCTTCTTCCAAACATTTCATTACCAAATTAGAGATAACTTTTGAAAGGATTAAAAGCAACATTGGTAAGGTAACTAAGTGAATGCCAGGATCCTAACCCCGAATTACACAGTTGCTCTGCTATTGATAAAACAAACTCATCGCCCGTTTCGCTACCTGAACTTTGATACATACCTGCTGCTCACTAGGGCCCCAATTCATCTCTTCCAGGATAATGCAAGCAAGTTTATTCTCGACTTCGGTCAGACTGTAATTCAGAAGCCAGTCACGGAGCAAGGCGATCTCCGAAGCCGATGGTTTCCAGAGAAGCATCGGCAGTTCTTTAAACAAATAGAGAGTCACCTAACAAAAGAATAATAATAAATAAATAAGAAAAATGCGAGGACAGAATTGCATACTTAGGAAGGCCATCTTTAAAGGCCTCGTCACAGAGAAAAAAAATCTATTGAACGGGTTGCTGGAAGTCAAAAAGAACCTGATGGCACGCTATCAATGTATTGATTGACTAGACCAGAGGTAGGCAACCATGGCTCTTTTATGACTCGTGGACTTCAATACCCAGAATTCCTGAGCCAGCCATGCTGAACTCAGGAATTCTGGCAGTTGAAGTCCACAAGTCATGAAGGGGCCAGTTTCCCTCATGCTGTCTTAGGAATTCTGGGAGTTGAAGTCCACAAGTCATGAAAGGGCCAAAGTTTCCCTCATGCTGGCTCAGGAATTCTGGGAGTTGAAGTCCACCAGTCATGAGGAGGCCAAAGTTTCCCTCATGCTGTCTCAGGAATTCTGGGAGTTGAAGTCCACAAGTCATGAAGGGGCCAAAGTTTCCCTCATGCTGGCTCAGGAATTCTGGCAGTTGAAGTCCACGAGTCATGAAGGGGCCAAAGTTTCCCTCATGCTGTCTCAGGAATTCTGGCAGTTGAAGTCCACGAGTCATGAAGGGGCCAAAGTTTCCCTCATGCTGGCTCAGGAATTCTGGGAGATGAAATCCACAAGTCATGAAGGGGCCAAAGTTTCCCTCATGCTGGCTCAGGAATTCTGGGCGTAGAAGTCCACAAGTCATGAAGGGGCCATAGTTCCCCCATGCTGGCTCAAGAATTCTGGGAGATGAAGTCCACAAGTCATATAAGAGCCACGGTTGCCTACCCCTGGACTAGACCTTATTTAAGGCACCTTCTTGCTTAGTGATGCTTAGAAGGAAGACACCTACCGAATGTATCAGCCGGGAAAGAAAGCTTAAATCTACAAGCTGCTACGTTTGCCAAATTACAGAAATGTTATCATCCTACATGGCATGGGGCCAGATTACGTGAAGATCACTGGTCCCATCTACTCAGCCCACCATAGTGGGGAGGCAGGGAATGTAAGGGGTCCTTTCTCTTAAGAAGGTCCATCGTGTGGGACCCAGGAGAAAGGCCTTCTCCAAGGGGGCTCCCTCTCTGGGGAACATCATCCCTGCGGAAATAATACTGGCCCCACTTTGACCACTCTCTGAAAGGCCCCGAAGACATGGGTTCCCCTGCCGGCCTGGGGACCCCAGGGGGACTCAAAGGTGTCGGTGTGATGGTTGCCACTGATGGGTTATGGTTTATTTGGTTTTGTAGTTTTATTTCTGTAAACAGCCGGAAGAAAGGAAGGAAGGAAGGAAGGAAGGAAGGAAGGAAGGA